GCTCATGATCAATTAATAACTGCAAGGTTCCTCATCATATTCATTATGGGGCCATGGTTAGTTTTTATTGGTTTAAGAATTTTAAGGATGCTATGATACCTCTACACCATCCCCCGGAGAAGGAAAAACACCTTGGCTATCTGTCACTCACAGTGGTCACCTCCTTAACACAGTGACAGCACAGAATGTCTCCACACAGCAGGGTCCTCATACCAGTCAGGGACAGCCACTGTGAAGCACCAAGCAGACAAGATCACACTAAGCCAGGGACGCCCTCTCCACGGATGGATGCATCCCATCCTTCACTAACATCCTTCACTTGGCTTCCATCAATGACGGCAATATTTGTTTTTCTCAAAATAGGATGAACTCTAACTTGCAAAAGATCAAGAACAATGCTCAAGTATAGTTTTTCACTGTGTATACCTTCCTGACCCCAGAGGAAATACCTTCATGTACTTTACCAGTGGACAATGCTGCAGCCCTTAAATATGTGTATTCTGCCACCATTAATCAGGTTATAAGAAAACACATGAAATACATGGAGAGAAAGATCTATGCATCCTACCATCACCTGACATTGCACATGGGATCCATTCCATAGCAGGCATGAACAAGGGTCTGCTTCTGTTGGACCTCTGATTTGTTTATTGGTCCAAATAAAATAATAGCATAAAACACTTGAAAATAAAGATCTGTTGTGGGATACCCTCAAGGGCAGTTGACCACTGAGCCAAATCCCCAGCCCTATTTTGTATTTTATACAAAATAGCTGCTTAGTACCTCACTTTTTATGAGGCTGGCTTTGAACTTATGAACCTCCTGCCTCAGCCTCCTGAGCTTCTGGTATTGCAATTGTGTGCTATCGTGCTGGCTCTAGACACTTTCATAGTATATGAGTCAAATACAACAGTGACCTACTGATTTAATCATTGATTCACTAATAATTCATGAAATCCTTCTTATTCTCAGAAAGCCCACAGATAGTCCTGGTGGTGGTCATCTGTATAGGTACCATCTTTCCACTCTACTTCTCCAACCACCATCCTCAGCTTTTAACACATGTATTTTGGTATATTACTTCCCATTCATCTGATCGTTGGCCTTGGGTGTGCCTAATGTATTACAGTTCACATTTTCTACAACTTAAACAAAGACCCTTCAATGATCCAGCAGAACCACTCAAAGAACTCTAGCTATGACTCACATCGGTCCCAAGTCCTGACGCAGAGATGCAGCCCATGGTTCGGCGACCAGGGAGGTATGGCTCCATCCCCTCGGAAGCATCCATGCTGAGGAGTAGAGAACAGAGAAGATGGCAAGAGTGAGACATCCACCCACCCACCTTCGCTGATCCTATTCCCTTTGGGGTTGGACCTCAGAGTTCCAGAAACGTATTATTCATGATCAGAGATTCATACGCCGGCAGTGATCATCAGCAGTCCAAGGAAAGACCCACCTCATTCAGCCAACACCATTCATCTCTGCATTTACTGTCTGCCTGAGTAGATCCAACTTGACCATTTGAGCTGTGTACTAATTTTTATTCCAGTTGTACAAACTAATGGGAAGCACTATGGAAACGTGACCCACGTATGCAGTGGCAAGTACTAAATGAGGAGCTTCACACTGGCATCACGGGAAACGTTCTTCAGACACTTTGATGAGTGTGATAACTGCACAGTGCTATCTCAGAGCACGTCTCTTCCTACCAAGGTCATTAACATTACCATCATTACTTTCTTTTTGCTTGGGGGGCAGGGGTGTTCCAGGGACTGAACTCAGGGGCACTTGGCCACTGAGCCACATCCCAAGCCCTTTTTTGTATTTTATTTAGAGACAGAGTCTCACCAAGTTGCTTAGCACCTCGCTTTTGCGGAAGCTGACTTTAAACTCACGATCCTCTTGCCTCAGCCTCCCAAGCAGCTAGGATTACAGGCATGCACCACCACGCCTGGCCATTACTATTTTAAATTTGGAAACTTTGTGCACAGCTCTTACACTTGTTCATAAAACATATAACAGGTTTATTGAACTACAGTCACTGTTAATCTGTTAGTTCAATCATAATGTTCCTCAAAGACTGTGATTCACAAACACCCAACAAGGGCATAACTCTGCATGATAAAGATCTAGCAAGATCCTTACCGCAATATACATCTATCACTACTCATTCACACTTTTTTATATCTGCTTTACTTCTTATCAAGATTCATCTTACTCCAAAATTTAAAAGGATTACACTAAGCTTCCTGTGGTGGTGCCACACACATTTCAAACATACAAGGATTTCCCCTAAGCATACCACCCAAACCAAGACAGGAACAGGGACCAAGACCTACACTGACCTCCAAGTCTGCTGGAGAGTCACCCATGGAGCACCTGGCCACAGAGGAGTTCCAAACCAGCTCAAGAGGGTTCCACTGGGGACAAGCGCACAGCAGAACCAAGGACAGAAAAGCAAACAAACAACACACTGAGACATTATCTCCACGGACCCTTGCTTTCCACTCTTCATTGAGAAACTCACTCATGTGGCCTCTGCATGTTAACTGAAAGGGTCTTGTTTTAGCTCTTAGCAAAAGCAGCTAATTCAAAATGGCCCCAGACCACAGCAGGAACCCTGCAGGGTCCCTGCACTCACTGTGTCCTCTAAGCCATGAAGGCTTGGCCATGGGACACCAGCGCAGATTGGACCTGTGTGCTGACACCATGTGTTCCATGACCCACCACCGAGTTCTGCCATTAAACAATGCTTCAGTCCGCCATTTTTCTGGCATTTTCTCAGGTAACTAGAGTTGCAGGATTTGCAAGTGTCACCACACAGGGGAAGACCAAGATCCTTCCAGGTTCCTGCCTGGGTCCCGAGGATGGTGCCTACCAAAAGCACTTCCATTCCTCATGTTGGACATGGTGTCCAGACATGCTTTCTCCTCATACGTGGCTCACGTGACACCAGCCAAGAGCTGGTCTCTTCATGGTTCATTCATTTGCACCTTTGTTTTGATTAGGTGATTAATTAATGTATAAGAATAAAATGCAACGTGATGTCCAGGACCTAAGCTGCTGGACAAATCCAACATCTGTTTGTAGAATCCTCTGCCAAACATACAGCATCTCTCAATATTCAGCCTCCGTGTGGCTCATGATCAATTAATAACTGCAAGGTTCCTCATCATATTCATTATGGGGCCATGGTTAGTTTTTATTGGTTTTAAATTTTTTAGAAAAGAAACATTAAATCTCACTAAGCTTCATCTATATTGTTTACCAGGAAGAAGCATCTGTGACATCCTGAGCTTTCTGCTCATGTCTAGCTGGCGGGTGTAACATTATACATTGTATACTTCGTGTGGGAACATTTTGCCTTCTTGGGTTATATTTGATTTTTTAAATGTAGCGATACTTCTTTAAAAAAAAAAAAAGCAGGTAAAACTGGAACATCAGCTATTACTCACGTAATCCAAACTCCATGACAACATGATGGCAGCATTAATGGGCTCAAAATCATCCAGTCTGCGGAACAGAGAACAAAGCAGACCATTGATACAGGACACCTGTCCCCTGACCCTGGCTTTTCATATTCCCTGTACTTGCTCTACTAGGAATTCATTATCTGGAGGATATTTGTATCATTTTTTTGTACAAAAATGAATAACCAGAAATATTGTTTGTCCCGGATGCTGAGTAATACCTATCAATCACACTGTGTACAATACTCTTCGCCAAGGAAGGCACAGCAGTGCGACATTTACTTACATTGCCGTCAATAGTTGTAATACGTAACAATGACTGGTCAGGCCTCTTTATAATAGTATTTCCATTGTACAGATTTTTCACTGATCCAAATACAATTATAGAATAAAAATCAATGAATACATTGACCAAAAATAAATATATTCTATATTACTAATGCCTGTTTAATAACATTATTTCAAGAAGAGAAAGCCAGACATGCGTTCATATTCTATGACTCATACGCCACCACTAGTCATCATCCTCTGTTTGTCCAAAGAGTTCTAATTTGTCTATTGATTAATTCATTGCTTATTGATTAATTCATTAATGGGATAATTATAAGTATAGAATCTTGATTCACAAAACCCAAAGAAGAGCCACATGATTCCTAGTCTATTAGGGAATCATTCCAATGTTAGTACCTTGGAATTAATTCATTAATCACCCTCAATTTTTCATATACACAGTATCAATACTTCATAGTGCACGTATATTTATCAAAAACATACAGTCTATTTTTTATTATATTTTAATTTTTTTTTAATCATTCAGGAAGTACTCAAGAAAACCATCCAAACCAAGACAAGAACACTCCTATGACTCACAGTGGTCAGCAGCTTCTTCCAACCATGGACATGGAAGACCCTTCTGTCCACAGGTCACATCCATTCTAGGGAGCAGAGGGCAGAGAAGATGACAACAAATTGAGATGTGCCCTAGAGTTCACCTGTCACAGTGAGACACTGAAGCAATCAAATTTGGCTGGAGTTAGAGAAGAACCTCAGATTTAAAAGGTAGTCACTGTCCTCACTCATACAGCTCCTAGAATCATCATTGTTCCACAATGGCTGCTCCTTGACTCCAACCATCTCATTTTCTGAATCATAAGCCCTATGCAAGTCACCCCGTCCCAAAGAGAAAAACTAACCACAACTCACACTGGGCTGTAGCTCCTCTCAACAGGGTGCTCATGGCTCCTGACCACGGAGCCATTCGCCTGTCCATAGGCCATGTCCATTCTGAGAAGCAGAGGGCAGAGAAGATGACAACAATCGGAGAAGTGCCCCACTTTTAATCTGCCACAGGGAGACATGTAGACAAACACACTTGGTGGGAGATGGGGCAGGACCTCAGATCCAGAGGTCTTCACCCATACCCCTCCAGCAGTCATTATCGATTCAGGAGGGGTCCTTGACCTGTCTAACCATGGCTACTTTCTGATTCGTTAATTTATACCTGACTAACACAAGCCTTATGCAAACCAACCCATCTCAAACAGGAATATTGATCAGGACTCACACTGATCGGCAGCTCCCCACAGGACGGTCCTAAGGGCACCAGACCACGGAGCCATCCTGCTGTCCACAGGCCAGGTCCCATCTGAGGAGCAGAGGGCAGAGAAGGTGGCAACTAATGGAGATACGCCCCTCTTGGCATCTCTCACACTGAGACTTCCATGCAATTATCGTACATTATTGCACGCAGGGAAGGAACTCAGATCCAGAGGCAAGTCACAGTCCTCACTCAGACACCTCCAGCAGTCATCATCGATTCACTATGGGTCTTCAATCTGTCCAACCATTGCCACTTTCTAAGTTATTAATTCATTAATTGATAAATGATAAGCCTTTGATTCACTAAGTCTGAAATGCCTTGTTGTTTTCGACTGTACGTGTCATCATTCCAACATGGACACCTCTGTGTCATAGGCATAATCAATGCAAGGCTTCACGCCCCCCCGCCCCCCGTTATCTATGGGAGGTACAGAACGTCACATTTGTGCCGATGCTGTACACTTCCTGTGAATCAGGAAATGGTCTTAAGCCTGCTACCCATCCGAAGCAGGAACGCTAGTTATGACTCACACAGGTCTGCAGCTCCTCCTCAGAAGGGCGCTAACAGCACCTGACCATGGGCCAGCCCTCTTGTCCAAAGGCAATGTCCACTCTGAGAAGAGAGCAGAGATGTTGACAACAAATGGGGTGTGCTCACTGTTCATTCTTGATTTGTGCCAATTCATTAATTTGAACTTGCCATTGACCCAGAACACTGTCTACAATTAGGTCTACACCACCGTTAGTCAAAAGGAGACATGCACGCACCAGTTATTTCTCTTTGAACTGCACTAGGATCTGTATATGTTGATATGTTTCCTGCTTTACCACAAAGTTTCGGAACCGTACAATGTGGATCACATGAACACAAGGTTGTGAATCCTCTTTGGGGCCCCGCCTTTCACTTGTCCTTTGCTCAGTGTTATACTGCACAGGGAAGTAGGACATTCGCTGTTCTTCTCTGGAGAAAACCAACATTACAGCACTTGATTATTGGCTGTAGATGTCATTCCTGTCCAGAGAAGGACGAGGGTAGAGACAGTTATACTCCTTGATAGATGTCTGTATATTTACTGTGTTCATGGTTTTAATTACTTACCCATGTACATGACCAGTGGGAATGCAAGACCATCTTCATCATATTATATCTGTACACTAATTCTTTCTTTGGGTCATTCCAAAAAGTGAGCCTTTAACTTTCCTGATATCAGTCTATGGGGGCACTTTAAACAGAGGTGTAGACTACACCCACTTTTTTATTGGACCTCAGAGGTTCACACACAGAACACTCGTCCTGTGACTCAGGATTACATCCCTTTTTCTTTATTCTTGTGTGTACTTGTTAATCGATCAATTGATTACCTTACTGATATAAGGTTTAAAACCTGAGAGGCAGGGCGATGAGTGTCGTGCAAGTCTGATGGATCACTCGGCGTATCCATGTGTTTTTTCCATGAACTTTCATCACATGGGGATTCATAAATCTCATTAATCCCACCTTAATTGTTGTCCATGGTTGGCCTTTTGGATCATGTTTCACATTTTTAATGACACAGTGACCACCTCACGGCAAAACTCTCAGAAGGATGTGAGACCACCCCACAGTGGTCCTCTGCCCTCAGCCTCGAGGGAACACGGAGCTCACTCCATGGGGTGTGTGTCCTTCTTGAGGACAATGAGACAAAGAACATGAGTAAGAGGCTGAGGTGGTCCCTAAGGAGTCCTTAGGGTCCTCCTTTGTGCCGACAGTAAGGTATCGACTGCTTCATAATATAAACATGGATACAAACTCAGAAACATGTTCGGGTGTGTTGGATGCACACCTACAAAACTGGATGCTGCCTACCCGTGTCACTGCCTAATGGTCCTTAGGAAAAGAAGTGACATCTTCAGTCCACTGATTGCTTGACGTGTTTCAGTGTGTTGTTTATATTCGCGCTATTCCACGCCTCACCACAGTCATTCATGGCTGGACAAGGTTTCATGCACTTATTTATTGTTTGACACACCTAGTTATTTATTGTTCACCAATGAATTAATCTGCATAGGTGAGAGCGTGGAACAGAACAAGGGCATCCCTCAGGACAGGACCTTGCTGGGTCTGGCTCAGATGTCCAGACATGGCACCTGTTATCCATGATTCAGGTGCCACCAGCTGCCCTTGATGGACGAAGGTTGGGCCTTCCTTCATCCTCCCCTAAACTGGTTTATTGATGACTCTGTGATTTTGCCAATAATAATTAAATGCGTGTGAACACAAACACTCAAAGACCACATAAGATCCATCTGTGTGCCCACCACCTGTCTTGGGAACCATTTGCCTGATGCATCAGGCCTCTGATTGATCCCCTTGGCACAAAAACCAGTAGATGTGCTTCACTCCAGCCCAGAGTGGACTGAGTGCCTCAGCACAGAGAGGCAGCCTGAGCACCCAGAGTGTGGTCGGTGCTGGGGGTAGTTCAGCAGTGCACGTGCTGAGCAACTGACCCCAGATGGAGGTGCTCCTCATCGAGCCCTCTAGGTGCATATGAATTTGAGGTAATACCTATTAAGTTTTCCCTCCAGAAAATGAAGAATATCAAAATTTCCACTGATCCATAGACAATTTGAATTGTCTAAATCATCCTCATTCAAAGAAGTCAGACACTTTTTTAATAGACTACTTTTAATTTTTAAGAATAAAAAATTCTTTTTAATAAAATTTGGTATTTTCTTTTTTTTAATATTTATTTATTTTTTTAGTTGTAGTTGGACACAATATCTTTATTTTATCTATTTATGTGGTGCTGAGGATCAAACCCAGGGCCTCACATGTGCTAGGTGAGCACTCTACCACTGAGCCACAGTCCCAGCCCAAAATTTGGTATTTTCAATATATTTTATAGTATTTTTATTGCCTCACCACAGTTACGGAGTAGACACTTCTTATCTTCGCTTATTTACATTTCTCCAAAGATTGTTACCTTGTTGTCATTTATGACAGTAGAACCCAACTATAGAAAGAACAATCCAAGAAAATGGTCCCTTTACATTGCTAGAATCTGTACATAAGATCACTCCAACCCAAACGGATATACTTTGTTTTGTTATTATCAGGTCTCGCTGAATGGAGCACGCAGTAGTCACTCACTGCATACAACTCATACCCCAGGGTCATCGTCATGACCCTGTCTTGGGTCAATTTCTCTACATTCTCATCTATTTTTGTTAAGCAATTAATTTATAATTCTCTAGTAATCATAACATAAATAGCTACTGATCATAAAAACCGCACAGGAGATCCTTAATATTTTTCTAGACAATCACATTCATCGGCTACTCTTCCTTCATCATTCATCCTCACTATGACAAGGAAAAAAAAAAAGATCAATGGATCAACGCCATGTTCCATTTCAACGCCATATTTATCACGGGGCAATGGCTACCCTCTCTGATTAGCCTTACTTTCTGGGATAGCACACTCGATATCCCTGACAAAACACCGGACAATGATGAGCACACCGGCCATTATCCACACTGGTCTCCACGGTCCGACACACAGAGGTGACCGCACAGCCTCGTCCTACCCACCTGGCTCTGCCCATCCTGAGAAGGACAGAGTCGATGACTAAGACTGATCTGCACAATCCCCCTTTTGTTTAGTGAGCAATTAAGTTTATATGACTTTGGGTTCATATTTGTTACTTTTCCATAAGAAATGAGAAATATCAAAATTGCCATAGGCCCAGAATAAAAACTGAGCGTACTATCTACATCATCCTAGGTCAGGGACAAGACACGTGGTCCACCGACATTCCCTCGAGGAGGACCTTAGGTTTCAACTTACATTAACAGTATCAGAAGGGTATTAAGAGTAGGCACTCTCCACCCTCCACGCCCTCTCTCATTTACTGTGCATGCGTTTCTGCCATGGGGCCACAAATTACACTAGGATCAAAATCCACGAAAATAATTCTTTCATACTTCTAAAATCTGTCTCACGTGAGAGTATCGGTCTAGTCAGGGTTTCTTTTTCCATTTTTAATCTACAAATAATTATATATATTTCTAGGATACAATGTGCTGTTTTGACATATGTTTTCACTGTGGAATGGTTAAATCAAGCTAATGAAACACATCTATCAATTCATAGCCTTGTCATTTTTGCACATATTTGTACATTTTTGTAAATATTCTCGTATTTAAAAATCTAGTCTTTGAGCCATTTTGAGACAGTGCTACCCATTGTTACCAACCACTCTCACCAGGCTGGATGAGGCTCCCCTAAACCTCTGCCTTTCTGAATGATGCTTGGTGTACTTTGATCTGCCCCTTTCTCCCACCACACCCCAGCTTCAGGCAGCTACTACTCTGTGTCTGACTTCGCATCACATCGCGTAGGACTCGCCTGCCGCCCCTTGTCATCAATGGTCCACGTACCCCATGCATTTCATTCCCATCTACAATTCTTCATTGATCAATCCATCAATATCACTTTTTAAAAATCCTATGATTTTTAAACTCTAAGGGACAAAGAGAAAACAAGAAGGAAAGACCTGACACCCACATGTAGCTACAGATTGACTGTCAACATGGGCATATCAAGACACGGCTCTCAGTGTTTCACGGATGTATTAAATATGATGATTCAAGTGTCCACAGAAATGTCTCCAGAATCCATGGCCGCACTTCAATCATCCTGATCGCCAGAAGAATGATTCATCAACACAACGTTTCATGTTAATCCCCCCCCCATTTTTTTTTGACAACAATTGTTCTTTTTACTTTAAATGTACTTCTTTTATTAACTTTGAATGTTCCAAACAAAATAAACAAACTTCCCAAAGATGGTAACTGACGACCACATGTTGATCTTTATGCTCCCGCACCCAGGGTCTGCCACAGAGGTCACCGTCGGGGCCAGGTGCTTTGATCAGTCGGGGGGTGTCCACTCTAGAGAGAAAGAGCAGATGACAACATGACTGAGATGCTCCCTCCTCTGATCTCACACCCACAAGTCACTACTCAGTCACTTAGGCGATACATTAAATGATATACGTTTCACATTCCATTAAGAAAAAACAATGTGAAACTTCCATCAGTGCAGAACTAGAACACCGGCATTATCCACATTATCTACGCCATCGGGAGCCAGAACCATTTTTCCTTACCAGATTGTTATCACTATTAATTAGTATTTTCTCTCACCTCACCTACTCCTGATAATTAGACAATGCTACAGTGTCTTCATTTTTACTCATTTTAATTGTGCACTGATTTTTTTTTCATTTTTAAAATATTCTGACTGAAAATTCTATACATTGAAACTGTGAAACATATTTTAATTTTATACCGATTCTCTTATTGATCCATTTATCGCAAAAGTATCGAAAGCCACCAAAAAAGAAGATCCTTATGAAATCCTAAATCCGTCTATAGAGTCATTACCTCTACAGTTTTTTTAATGACACAGGGTTTTACTAAGTTGAACAGGCTGGCCTTGAAACCCTGGATGCAAATGATCTTTCGCCCTCAGCCTCCCAAGTACCTGGGGCTACAGGTGCTTGTCACCATGTCTAGCTCGTTTCTATGTCCTTAATGATTCATTTATCTAGAATCTAATAACAATAAAGTAAACATGTGTGACTGAAAAATATACATAATTCCAAAAACCCTTGAAGATCCTTAAACATCCTCAATATCTGTCTATAGAATCATTCACTTCATTTTATATTCTCCTTAATCATGCTCCAAGTTGTAAATATCAACAACTAACATGCTTCTTTATCATTGGGTTATAGATAGCTTTTTCTTTAATTATTTTTGGTATTTCTTAATTATTACAGCGAACGCCGTGAGCAAACCACCAAAACATCACCCGTGACTCACCTTGCTGCCCAGGCTCCTACCCAGATAGGCAACCTTTGCACCCACAATGGAGGCAGAATGCTCAACACAGCCCAGGGGTCTCCTTCAGGGAAACGAAAAGCAGAACAAACCACAGAAGCAAAACTGACACCTTATCTCTACTGGTCCATGCAGGTCACCTGTCAATCATTAATGATGTAGGTATTTAATATTCGAAATTAATACGTGTTAATTTTTCTTTTAGAAAAGCCAACACTATCAATCTTGACACAAATAAAACAAGAACATTAAGATACATATGCATGTGCACACGTATATGGGTGCATATATTTGTGTATGTGTATTTTTCTACGTCTTCCTTATCCCATAGGATAACACCCTTTAACTATTCATCTCTTTACAGACCTCACTGTTTTCAACGTACATTATTCCTTTCTCTCATCTCATGTGATTTATATCAGACAACATTTTGCTCATTCATATTTATTCATTCCTGTTTGCCTATTCTCTCACTCATCTACCTGTAATGAGACCCAAGTCCATGAACACAAAACCAAAACCACGGTTCTTTTGTATTCCCCACGTTTGCCGACAGGGCCGAGTCAGCAGTGGCCAGAGGCAACCCTGCTCTGGCCTCAGTCCCCAGTGCAGCGGTCATCCCTGGCTCATGTGCCACAGTCATCACCACTTGTCCTGGCTGGGCCTGTCTTCATTCTCATATACACCTCTTAATGACTGAATTCATTAATTCTCTAACAATAATAAAAGCACAGAAAAATAACGGGCTGGAGCCTTGATTAATGCTAGAGCTTTCTGTAGACTAACTTCCTACACCTATAGGTACTTTTGCTATTAATGCTTCTACATGGATTTGTTCATATAATACGTCGTGTAAATTTTTATTGCCACATACATATCACAAATATGTATATCATCGTGTCGTGGACAGCTTTCAAAGAAGACAGTTCACACCTTTTAAATTCAGAGGGAACACCTCAACAGCAGCCTGGGCTAGCAGGATGAGTCTGGGGCTAGGACTCACACTGTCATCATGTGCCACACGGAGGCATCTGTAAGCCCACGTGCACATCCATCCTGAGGAGCACAAAGCAAAAATGTGACTGACTGCCGAGCCAGGGCCGCCCTGGCCAGTCTTTCCAACTCAGGCCTTTAGATGCATGTTCATTTATATAATGGGAAAATACTTCACATATTTGCTTATCTTAGTTTATTAATTCTTCATTGCCCTATTTGTACTAATCATAATGATTATTACTTGTACAGTTTATATGATCATTAGCTAAAGTACCATTCTTAAACGATGCCTTTCTTAATAGACTTGAGCATTTCTAATTTACTTGTATTAATGGGCTCTCTTCCTTCCACACATTTCCATAATTGGATGATACTTTACCTATTTATTTATTTACATTCATTTGTTGATACTTTTAATATATCCAACTATAATGCTGGAATTAAAATCCATGAACGCAAAGATCAAGTACACAATACTCGCATCTTACAATCTCTCTGCAGGATCACTTCCTACTGAGGTAGCATGCTAGATTGCCTTTGTTTGGAACTTCCAGTTCCTCACCTGGTGTTTATCAGCCATGCATCATGAATGGTGCTGGCCAAGGATCATTAGGGTCCAGGTGGAGCACCACACAGTATTTCATATGAATACATAACTATCATCAGAGACAATTGGCTTTCTTTGACAATATTAAACACATTATATTAATACATGGAATGCCTTCTTGAAAAACATTCAAAAAGCTATTTTCCTGAAAAAAACATTCAAAAAACTATTATCACTACTCACATTTCTATCAGTTCCCCAATAAGACAGGCAACTTCAGAAATCCATCAATCAAATAGAGTGCATCTGTTCTAGAAAAAAGAGAAAAGCAGGGATCAAACACTGACATGCTTTTTACACTGATCCTTCAGTCTGCATTTCAGAGAGATATACATATGGGTTTTGCTTTGGAGTAACACATTTCACGTTTCCTTAGACCCTAAAAAAACTAGTTAACTAATCTTCAGAAATTCAGAATAAGAAGAGTAGCTCTTTGTTTTATCATCTGTATCAGCTTAAGATACAGGAGAAATACTAAAAGAATGTACAATTAATATATTTACATTTTCCATAAAAATTGGTGGCACATTTGACATGTCCACAGACTATAAAAATGCTATCATGCTTCACTTATTCATATATATTTATTTATACTTAATTATTGATATTTTCATAACTTTACAGCATCCATTCTAGAAAAAGTCTCCATCCCATACCTTTCCTCCCAATTGGACCTCTGTGATTCATATTTATCAATAGTGCCACATGGATTTCCACACTGGAGAACACCTTGCCCACTTCTTTCCTTACTTTTATTTTCTGATAAAATTACAAAAAATAGGAGTTCAAGAACACAGAGACCAAGGGCAACATCCTTGACTCTTGCCAACATCAAACCCCTAAGATAACAGAGTAAACCCTAGATGTCTTATGGTGTTGGACCTCAGACTTCCAAACCTATAGTCATCATTTTTGATTTATGTGCCACCAGTGGTCTCCATGGATCTAAGACATGCCCTCTTTCCCTCCTGTGTTGATGAATTTCTAATGTCATGCATAGCAACTAGATAACCTGGATTCTCAAGCATCTGAGATCAAGATCCTGAAGAACGCAGCATGGCCTTCTACAGGATCTTGAGGTTCATGCCTATATCTCTTCCCCGACGCCATGTTGATTTTGCAAACTGTTATGGATCGATGTGATCATGGCCAGGCCATATTTATCCTTCAGCCATTGTTGTTTTCACAGATGTGTAATGCTTTTTCTAGGACCGTGAATGTCCTGGAGAAACAACCTCAGTCAAGATAAGAGCTCTTGACTCTACTCACCTTTCTCACAATACTCCTAACACACACAGGGAACTCTACATCACAGGGCCAGAGAAGAATGCTTCCATCATCTGAGAGTACAGAGCACAAGGGGTTAGAAAAAGATTGAACTTCTGTCCCTTGATCCTTCCCTTTCTCCTTCCATTTCATAATTCATTCAGTAGGAGTTAAATCACAGTTTTGCTCAAGAAACTAACAACATTGAATGTGGCCATGTGGCCTTGACCCTAGCAAGGATTCAGAACCATTATTTTTTCTGCACATGCCATTCTCGTCCAAGGTTCTAAAAAAATCACTACTATTTATGTCTGAATAGACTTCCATCTTTTTCAAACATTTTCAAGCTACTTCTGGCCTTGACATATACTTTCATAACCAGACAATGCCTCCCTCACTTTATCTTTATTTTTTATACATTGTATATATTGATGTAAAGATTTTACCTTGTTCCAATTATAAAAATAGAATAAATATTCATGAACCATAGGACAAAGAACAATATCCTAGATAATACCTAATATCTATCCCTAGGATTACAAGCTAGATGTCTTCTGGTGTGGACCTCGGAGTTTCAGAGATAGTCATCATCCTTGACTCATACGTCACCAGTAGTTATCACTGGTCCCAGATTGGCACTCTTCCCCTCCCTTAATTGCTACCATTGTTTATTGACTTATCCATCCTTTCACTGATAATATTTATAACAATGGTCCAAAGGCCCTAGGGTAACTTCTTGACATGTACTTTACAGGAGCTTTCCCTACTTTGAGTATGACTCTTACTCGCTCAAAATATTATAGCCATTATTGAGTAGTCAACATAATGATTCATGGCCATGACACGGTCATTGTTTGGCCACGGTTAACCTTCTGAGATGACATGTGCTGCTTTTACCACTACAGTGAACCTCCTTGTAACACCACACAACCCAGGGCAAGAAGTTTCACTCAACTCACATTAATCTCTATACTGTGAACGTAAGCAGGATCCCCCGACCTTGTAGCCAGAGAAGAATGCCGTCAACATCTCGGGAGCACCCACTGTGAGAGTACAGAGCACAGCAGATTTTAAAGACATTGGAATTCTGTCCATTTGTTCTTCCATTACTTCTTCATGAACCATGCATTAAATTATCACACTTTCTTCTTCATAAAACCAACAAACACTGAACAGAATTCTGTTCCCCACACTTTTTTTTAAAAAAAAAAAAAAACTGGACACAGCATCCATTCCAGAAAAAAAACATAGCTCATCTGTTTCCTCCCAGGTAGACTTCTGGTTTTAAGAATCAATGGTCTGAGGAAGCAGAGTACACGGTTTTCCCAATGGAGAAAGCCTTGCCCACTTCTTTCCTTATTTATATTTTTGATACAATTATAACAAATAGAACTAATGTTCAAGAACAACATCCTTAACTCTTGATAATATCTATCCTTTTTTAGGATAACAAAGAATACACTAGCTATCTTATGGTTTTGGACCTCAGACTTCCAGACCTATCATCACGATCCTTGACTCATACATCACAGTGGTCATCATTAGTCCAAGACCAACCCTGCTCTTCAATAATATCTTCAGTTGCTTATTGTCGAATTGTCACTCAAGCCACTACATAATTATGACTCTCAAGTATCTGAGATCAAGAACCTTAAAGATGACCTGGGTTGTAGCTCAGTGGTAGAGCATTCACGTGGTACATGTGAGGCAATATGTTCGATCCACTGCACCACATAAAAATAAATAAATAAATAACATAAAGGCGTTGTGCCCATCTATAGCTAAAAAAAAAAAAAACTTTTTAAAAAAAGTAACCTTAAAGACACAGCATAGCTATCTGCAAGATCTTTATCATGGCTTCATCTCTTCCCTGACGCCATGTTGATTTTACCAACTGTGATCAACCAATGTGATCATGGCCAGGCCATATTTATCATTCAGCCATTGTTGTTTTCATAGATTATGTGTAATGCTTTTCTAGGACAGTGAATGGCCTGGAGAAACCACCCCAGCCAACATAAAAGCTCTTGACTCTACTCACCTGTTCCTAACACACACAGGGAACTCTACATCACAGGGCCAGAGAAGAATGCTTCCATCATCTGAGAGTGTCCACTCTGAGGGTACAGAGCACAAGGGGTTAGGAAAAGATTGACCTTCTGTCCCTTGATCCTTGCCTTTCTCCTTCCATTTCATAATTCATTCAGCAGGAGTTTAAATCACAGTTTTGCTCAAGAAACCAAGAATATGGAACCTGGCCAATTCATGCCCAAGACATGTTTATCTTCTGGTCATTTTTGCCCTTCTGAAATTATAACTGCTTTTATGGATACAATGAGCCTCCCGAAACACCACCCAATCCACGAAAGGAAACCTCACTCCACTTACATTGGTCTCTTCTCCAAGAACACAAGAAAGATCCATGGACCTTGCAACTCTGGTCATCTTTGGAACCCTCATTCCGAAGAGTACAAAGTACAACAGATTTTAAAGACACTGTTACTCCATGCATTTGTTTCATTGTATTTAGTCATTTAAGAATCCAGAGACAGGGTTTGGGGTTGTGGCTCAGTAGTAAAGCACTTGCCTAGCACATGTCAGGCACTGGGTTTAATTCTCAGCACCACATTAAAAATTTTAAAAAAAGATATTGTGTCCATGTACAACTAAAAATATTTTAAAAGAAAAAAGGAATCCAGAGACAAAGAAAAACATCTTTGACTCTTCCTAACATCTATACCAAACATCACCCAGTATCTACTAGGTGTCATCTATATTGGACCTCAGATATCCAGACCTGCAGTCATCATCCATGACTCATATGCCACCAGTGGTCATCATTGATCCAACTTTATCTCTTCTTTTTGCAATAATATCTACCGCTGCTTAGTGACCAATTCATCTTCTCACTGAAAGTATTTATGTGACTATGAGTCACAAATCTCTGAGAACAAGATCCTTAGGAACAGGGCATTGCCCACTGTAAGATCTTTCTCCAAAGTGCATGCCTCTCTCCTTAACCAATGTTATCTGTATAAATGATGATTAATCAATATAATATTTCATGTTCCTGCCATATTTGTCATCCAGCCACATTTGCTATGTTCAGATTGTATGTAATCCATTTATCATATCACCAATATATTTGAATACCACACGCTCCAGGACAAGCAATTTGACTCAACTTACATTGGTTCCTATGTGGTGAACAACATGGCAGTGACCACAAACCTCATGACTACAGAAGAATTCAGTCACCATCTTGGGAACACCATCTTGGGAACACCTTTTTCCTATAACAGAGAATCACTTTAAACAAACTAATCCAAAAAGGAAAGTTGCACTACTATTCACAAGAGTCTTCATGCTAACAGAGGGAGGCAGGTTGGGAGCACAAGGCTGAAATTAGGCTGGAGACTCAGAATAATGCAAATTATAAAACTGGATGATCTATCTTCATTAATCTGTTTATTGCCCTTTCCGTTTGGGTATTTATGAATCTGTGATAATATCTACATATTCCCTCTATGTTAAAATTAATGCTGTCAAACTTGAGCTGACCCAGAAAAATAACATGGACTATTCCTTCTAGTCACTACCTTAAAGATATTTAAGGAGGCATCCTTAAATATCAGTCCCCGGACTTCTTGCCTAAACACATGGATTCAGAGTTGGACAATGCTTCCATCCTCTATAGTTTATTTATAGATTTGCTTATTGATTGTGAAATGAATCAACTTACGATGATAAAAATCACAACTCTCTAACTCAGCACCTCATGACCGGGGCCTGTGTTCGGATGGGAGAATGTTGACAGTTCCCGGGGTCAGCCTCTGCACTCCACGTCACACTGGCGCATATCCAAGCCTCTATCACCAGAGGCTGATGAACCAGCTGTCAGGCGTTTAGGCTGCGGAACAGAAAACCGATGTCAGAAGGAAGGAAACTGTGGTTGTTTTCCGTGTTGTGGATGTCATGTATGACTAAACTAATTAAAGTCCTTGAGATGTGACAAGAGTTTTGTCACTGGTGGTTTACGATTCACTTAGGACCTTCTCAGATTTACTTTTTAATTGTATGATGAAAATGATTAACCGATCAGCAAACACAAGGAAAAGAGCTACCTCTACTATGAGCTGCTGTTTCTATGCCCCATCCTATGTAGATCACAATGTATGTCTATGTTAAAAATAGAATACTCTCAAGTATAATTAATCTAAATGACTGTTTGATAGCCTCACCAATGGGCCTTGATTACCCCTGTGGATGTACGCATAAGTTGCTGAACCTATGTATTTATTCTATATGTACTTCCTCATGGATTAATTTGATCATGCATTCACACTGCTTAAAAAAAAAATCAATGGGGTAAACAAACCAGCAATGCAGAAGTAAAATAAATGAGTGCTTCTCCCTGCATGTGTGATGTCCAAGGCACAGGCAGCCTGTGTCTCCTATGTTGGGTAGAGGTTGCAACAAACAGGATGAACCATCATCCTTGTTACATAACTCAGACTTCCTGTGCCATTTGGTCGTTTTTGCTTATTTTCATTTATTTATTCAACATTTTTTCTTTTCCTATTTTTTTGTATTAAAATGAACAACTACCAAATTACCCTATTAGAATAATAAGAACAACGCCTATTACTAGGATATGTTTATATGTTTCTAAGCAAGAGGGGTCGTCTTGGGAATGGAAAATACTGATTTGGCACTGACCAAATTTGGACTACCCATAACCCTTGGTTCAAAGCCAACAAAAACCCAGCATGCTCCTTGTTCAGCATTCTTCGTCATCTTTCATGCATACATTTGCTCCCGGCTCAAGAATCCACTAAACTACAATCAATACTTATGGTTCACAAAACACAAGAATAAGAAACTGAAGTTTCTTACAGGGCTGGGGCTATGCTCAGGCTTAGAGTGCTTGCCTAGCATGTGCAAAGCCCTGGGTACAATCTTCAGTAACACAAAAGAAAGAAAAAAAATGTTCGAGAGGTGTGCTTAATACCTGTCCAAACTCCATTTCTCCCAGAGAAAGTAGATGGTTCTCTTTGAGTGACAGACTTAGTTTCGTAGACTAGTAATTAAGAGCAAGCACCCTTGCTTTATGTTAACCCCATAACTCTTTTACAGGTCAGGGTTGGATCAACTTTTAGCTACTTCACCCATTTTTAAGGAGATGACAAAAACGAGCATGAAGCCACCCTTGTACTCCACACATACAGTGCTGACGATATCTTACATCTTGGGATGTGACTAAACTATGTCTTCATAAGAGAGGGAGGATAAATCAACTGACACTCAGAAATAAAACAGAATAATGAATGTTACATTAATTAATTCACGAATAAATTGAGTATGAAAATAGAATGGTCTTGCTTCTTTCTCTTTAATGGACTAAAGATATGATGAATTAGTCCACGTCTGACCTTCATTCATTTCACTTGTATACGTAGCCACTTATTCCCTCTCAATGACAGAATTAACGTCCATGATAAACCATAAAACCAGAATCAATTAATCTGTTACTTACATAGATTTCTAACCTCATTACTCAAAAGGATAACAACCAAAACCTTCCTCGCTAGAGAAAGACCGTATCTCTGTGCATCCATTCTGCAGAATAGAAACAGAAAAAAGCAGATTAGATAGAGAGAGGGATTTTTTTTCTATTTCAATTCAAGTCAATATTTGATCAGCATAAAACTCAGTGCTTGTCATACATTTAAACATACCTATGGCATCCCTGTGGACTCACTGATTGGGCAAATATCAAATATACTATAATGAGCACCAGACAAAAGAATAAGAACCCTGACTATCACACATGTCTATTTGCATGCCTCTACCCATGCAGGGAAGTGCTGAATCTTCTGAATGAACCCTGGTACAGGATGTGAATGGAAGCACACTCAGCTATATCCACATGCACATGAACACACAGGCCCTCTCTAGGTACACGTGGTGTCATTTAGCTATTCCATATTTAAGGACATTGTATCAATAAGCCAAAAAAGGGAAATCCTACTTAAATTCATAAATATAGCCATCATTCCAAAAATGCAAGGTCCTAAGTCTATTTTAACTATCTGGAGTGTGTGGGGAACTACACTGATCCATCTCCCTGTTTCAGGACCTGGGTCCTCCTTGGTCCATGATTTGCTTCCTTTTAAATGATTAACTGCGGCATTAACTTACTGTTTTTCAAGTTCATAATGAGACCATTATATATCTGTGACCCCACAGGAACTGCACAATATTAATGCCTGTCTAGATGTTCATTAGACACGGAAAAAAAAAAAGATCCAATCATTTTTTATTATTTTTTTAATTAAACCCAAGAACTGATGTTAAGCACAGTGCAGATCACTGTATTAATCAGAACTGGCTATGTGACAGGCTCTCAGCATAGATCCCGACCTATGCCCTCTTTGAATTAATCAATAATGAAATTAAGTAAATATTTTGCCTTTTTTTAAAATAAAACATAATTAGAACAAAACAGTGTCTAGCATCCACCTATCTCAGTGCGCCTTCAACAAGAGGGGTGGCTCTGATCACCTATGTCCCTGGAACTGTCCTCCAAAAATGTGTCAGTGGGGACTCTCGTTGCCTTATCAACCCCCAGGCTTGAATGAGAGTCATCCACTCTCTCTCGCTTATAGGTTTCTTGGTTTATTTATGCCCTGCTCTACTAAAAATAAGATATTCCACATTCAGAAGCCCCCAAAACACTATCCCTATTATTTTTAACTCCTAGAACCAGCTCATTTCTTATAGAGATAACAAATCTCTATCTTATTACAATGGACCACCCAGGCATAGGGTTTAGTCAAAAATCCTTGATGCAGACACCCAGGGTACTGCTCATCATTGATTCAGGATAGCAATCTTGTTCTTAATTTCTATCTTTATTTACAGATCTATGCACGGCTTCACTAGAGTAAAAAAACATCAATCATCACGAATGTTTTTAAAAAGCCAAGAACAATAACCTGGATTACTACCAGGATCTGGTTACAGGTTGTTTCCCTTCAGATGAGGCCTCCTCCCTCCACAGAACCTCTTGACGGAGTGGCCCTGGGTGGAGCAAGCGTCCTGCTCCTGGCCAACCCGTTCTGTCTGTCTCTCACCTTCCCCTGCGCTCTTCCTCAGGGAATTTGTATGATGACGAACACATGCTACCAACTGCCCCACAACCCCAGGCAACGACCAAGAGGACTACAGCAACTGAACACAAGAATTCCTGTAATCCCCATCATTTAAAATACAGACAGCCACGGAAGGATGAGGCAACCCTATTGGACATGGCGACCCTAGATTTTGTGACTGGATAAATTTTGAATTAAATGTAGAGCAGAAATTAGATGAATGATTAGCTCTGAAAATGAGTGGAATATCTTCTATGCTTTAACTACAACTGTGCTTAATTGGATCAATCTGAGTTTCATAACACATGTCCTTTTTCCATATATGGCTTAATTCAAGCAATTCAATAAGCAGCTAATGAAAATATCAAGCAAATTGACAAAACTTGAGCTTTTACTTACTTTAGTCATCAGGTTTCTTACTCACAAAGGCAACAGCTAAGATCTTCGACAGCCGAGACTAAATAAATCAGCTGTGGTCTTCATTCTGTGGCATCAAATACCAATGTTTAAAGAATAAACAGTACAGGGTTAGATATATTAAAAGACATTGACTGCACAGCACAGTAGGCTAATCACATTCTAGATTTGAGTTCAGTTTCCACCATTGAAGGACTTCTATTTATTTACTTTATAGAAAAAGAACTTCTCATTTATTTTATTTACTGGCCTATTAATTTCAAATAATAGAATGAACATTATTAAATTCATCAGTCAAAAGTAAGAACTAACACTTTTGCACACACATGTCTACTGCCCCCAGCCCAGAGGTAATCTCTCTTTTTTTAAGTAGTCTTTTAAATAAATAGGTGAATTTAAATTCAGGATTCATTGTCAGTCCTCACCAATAATCTGCATTTGACCCTACAATGTTATCATTCACTGTTTTATTTGTTTGCTGCTAGAATGTTCACTCATCTGTTCCCATGCACACAACAGGCACACATACACACAGGGGTCAACTCAGGACCAACCCAGAACAGAGCTGACTTTCATGGTCAAGGACCTACACTTCCACACCTGAATGAGAAAGAGTATCATTTTCACTTCTTCCTCGGCCATGTTTTGCACACTTTTAAAAACTTAGCTATGAGCCAGGTGCGGGGGCTCACACCTAAAACCCAGCTACTCTAGAGGCTGAGACAGGAGGATCACAACTTCAAGATCAGCCTGGGCAACTTACAATGTGTACAATTAGCACACGAAAATAGAAATTTGAAAAAAAAAAACAGATGTTTTTGCTTATTTATAATATAATTCATAGTTGGAATAATAATAATTCTTTTCATTGGTATATCCTTAAGGTGAACAATGCTCATTCATTTCGACAATTACATTACTACTTCATCTACTATTTGTGTAATTTTCCTTTTGCTAATCAAAAAATAATTAGCAAACAAACCCTTTACATCAAAATATTATATAAAGTCTTACATACACCTGTCACATACTTCTTTCCAAAAAAGCAACCATCTCTATTCATGTGTAGCACTGGAGTTCAGTACTCCAGAAACATGCAGTAATAATGCACGGTGCATCACAGAACTGAACCACGCTGGGCTCTCTTTAGATTTACCTCTCTCTACATTCCTTTATTTATTCATGCACTGAATTACTTATAAACCCAGTCTATTTCCATAAAACGTGTACTCTGCCGATCAAGATATTGAGAAAAATTGGAAGCTACTGTATAAATCGGACCTCAGAGTTCCAGATGGCTTTAATCAAAATTTTGATTCAGACACCCTCCAATCTCATCACTGGTCCAGACTCGGCACTCTCCTTCTTCATTCCCTTATGCCTTTACTTCCCCATGAGCCACAGGCTCAAAAAAAGACCCTTGATATGACTACGATATGTCCCTATACTCCACCCCACAAGGCGCACAGATAGGAGTTCAGTGCCATTCTCATGACCTCTTCGGTGAATCTGGCCCATGAGGGCCACAGTCATTGAATGTGGGTGTTTTTTTTCCTTAAAGAGGGTATAATGAACAATCAAAATCCTCAACAACTAGGACACAAGTGATGTGCACCTCCACCACTGTGGAAGTTCCTAAATCAACCACAGTGCGGGAACAATGCAGAATGTCAAACAGCTCTGGAAATTAAATTCCTTCCACTTTATTTCTTAAGTTTCTTTTTTTAAGTTGAGCTGTCCCTTCACACATCTCTACGACAGGTCCATACTTCCTACGTTTAATTTTTGTGCATGATCTTTGGTCCTATACTTCAGTGGCCACATATGAATAAGGAATGGAGACTGTGATTGTTACTAACATGGCTCCTTACCCATGGAAGCAACTGTCAAGGTCTTCATCATGGAGAATGACCAAATCCAAGGTGCTGTGCTCATTCAGGAGGAAAAAGACAGAGTTCCAAGAAAATGAAAAGTATAAAATTTTAATATTTTTAAATAAAGTTCAGTTCTGCATTATTTGATTAATCACAATCATTGGCTTATATCACACAATTATCATCAATCCAACAGTGATATTATCTTCATCTACTGAAATACTTTAGTATGAATAGATACCACATAATTTTTTGACTCTATCACCCCCCAAAAAAAGATGATTAATATATATCTAGATAATCTTACCTTACAGCAAAAAAAAAAGAGCAGATACTGGGGTGGGAGGGAAGCTGGAAATTGAATTCTGGGGTGCTTCACCACTGCGCTACGTCCCTAGACCTTTATTTTTGAGACAGAATCTTCCTAAGTTACTGCAGGTCTTGTAAAATTGCTGAGACTGGCCTCCCTTTTGCAATCCTCCTGCCTCAACTTCCTGAGTTGCTAGGATAACTGGTGTGCACCACCATATCCAGCAAGGCCAGAGAATTTTTTAATGAAGAAAAATTTTGCAAAATAGAATGAATTTAAATTCATGTTTCATGACACAATCTGGTCAATGGGCCACACTGTAATTTAATTCCTATATTTACTGGTTTATTAATTTACCAATAATGAATAATAACATTTATTACCTAAAACTGAGCACCATTTCCTGCCACTTGTCTCTATTGTCCTTCTCTCCCCTATACTCTCTGCAGGGATTAGAGAAGTTCTCTCAGTATCATTTAATATGGAACCATTATCCACACATGACTTGGAAAGTGGCTGGTGTGACTTTATTTTTAAGTAATTTAAATTTGCATGCGAATGGCAAGTTGCATCTGAAGAATAAGGTCTATACACCACTCTTCCATCAAGGTGCAGGGGCCTCAGCCTTGTGTACCTGAATTTCAAGAGGGTCCACAGAATAAAAGATGCCACTTCACAAACCATATATGTCTTTTACTGGTCCTTCTTTTAAATAGTGAATTGTGATATTGTTCTTTTACTCATTTGTAAAAATAGCAACAATATTTATAAGCCCTGAGAGCAATGGGCAAGCGTCTATTTATACACTTCACTTATTACCAAAAATCATACAAAAATGCACTTATAATTTTCTTCTAAATAAATTTTAAGAGGATTTGTAGTAATAATGTTCATACTCAAATTATATCAAGTTATTTAATTTTATCCAGTTGTTACTACATTAATGAATTCAGCACAACTATTAGTTGTATTGTTATTATGGAATATACATACCATTTTTATTAGTTAATTGATATGCATATTCCATAATAACAATACAATGTAATTGACATAATAATAAATATTATATTGTTATTATGACATAATAATAAACATGACATAATAAATATGATTATGACATAATAAATGTTATTATGTCAAATATATAATTTAATTATATAAGGTGTATGTCACTTCTAAAAATAAGAAATGCAATGAGCAACTCACCACTAGCCCAAAACAAAAACATAGAGAGACACTCTGTCAACACCCGCTTTACTGAAACTCAAAATTTCAGAAATGAACAATCCTTAATTCGTTCCCCTCATATTATATGAATTATGGCCCTCCTTGTCTTTATTCAGGCATTGATTTACTTAAAATAGCACAGTATAAACCTATAAAAAACAAAAGAGCAAAAATGCATTCCCTCTGCCAGGTGCAGTGGGACATGCCTATAATCCCAGCAACTCAGAAGGCTGAGGCAGGAGGATGTGGAGTCGGAGGCCTCAGCAACTTAAGGAGACCCTGCCTCAAAATAAAACATTTTTAAAGACAGGGCTGTGAGTGTAACTCAGTGGTAAAGTGCCCCGGGTTCAATACCCAGTGTCAAAACAAAAACAAAAACATGTTCCCTTGGATATTTCTAATGTCTATAAGCACATTTCTTTTAAATAGTGAATTGTGATGTTACAGACAGAGCAGACCTCAGAGTTACAGACTGGGTTTAATCAAAATATTTGATTCAGATGCCCCACGCACACTCATCATTGATCCAGACTTGGTATTCTATGCTTTTATTCAATGTTAAAATTCCTGATTTATTCACTGATAATATGATCAACAGCCATGAATTAAGGGCTCAGAAGATACAAATATGGCTGTCAAAGTTCACACCCCCACAGAGCTGGGGACCTAAATCTCTGCAATCTCCAGACATGCGGATATGAACTAATCCACCTCCCAGCACCACATCAATTTGCTATTAGTCACTGGTCCATGGTTGGGCCACCTTCATTTAAAGTGCATCCATATTTTCAAGATGACGCAATGAACTGCCATCTTATACCACAGCTAATGAAAAGGTCAGAGTCTCCATTTCCTCTAAGAGTCTACAACAATATCACTGGAGAAGTGTTAAATCCACTGGGGTATAAAAGCGAAATTACATATTAAAAAATTCTTAACATGACAGAAATGCCTTTCATCTTTTTGTTCTAAGAAATTCAATAGTTCGGAATTGGATTAAACATAATTCTTAATGTATAATGATTTCCACCACTGGTCAAGACATGACCACTTTTGAACTGATCCCTTTGAAATAATTCTGTGAATACATGATTAAGCTCTACCATCAGCAAGAACATGAACTTTGATCTTTACTTACGTTGACATCTTCTTATCCAAAGAGAGGAAAGGCCAGGTCTTCACAGGAAGCAGTGATTGAATAGGTGACTGTGTTCACCTGGAGGATAAAAAGCAAGTATTCAAATGGATTGAATAGTTGGATTAAATTGTTTTAAATGTACCATACTTGTGCAGTAATCAATTAACCATAAACCTTGGTTTGTGTTCTATACTAAACATTTTGGAAGAGAGCAGTACTTTATATTTATTCACTTCTGTGATTTAGAAGAGAGGATAATACTTTATTAACTAATATAATGTATTTTGGTATAAATAATATAATGAACACCATTGAATCCAGCATTGAAAACAATAAAAATAACTATTAGGATTGCCAGTCCATTATTGCTACCCACATGGGCAAGAGCAAGATCCTCATTTTGTTGAATTTTGTGCAAAACTGGATCTACTGGAGATTCAATTCATGACACAATCTTGCCAATAGTCCAAGGTGAACTCCTTTAATATACTTATTAATTCACTAATATCTCTATTTACTCATGTGATAATTTGTCTAAGAGAGCTTTGAAGTTTAAACAACCATCAAAATAGAACTGAAACACTAATATAGCAAATTCTATATGCACCACTGGAAAGGTCTAGAAATCTTTGCCTTGAATATGAATACAAGCTTGAATAATAAGATGATCAGGATTTTTATACACAACTGCATGTTTTCCATTGGCACTTTGATTAGTAACATTTTCAAAAATTAAGACACAAATTTATGAAATAGCATTGTAATTCACTATATGTGAGCCCACCTACACCAGATAAGTACCCTGAATAATATTTACATTTTTTGTGTGTGTAATTACCCCAAAGAGTAGCAAATTGGTTCAATTTGTTTGCTTAAGTAAAACTGCACAGAAAATTTGCATTAATTGTACATGCAGTTGAATAAAATTCTCATCATTGCTCCATGCTCTCTCACTCAAACATTCAATCAACGATTCATTTATGTAAATGCATTCCTTCTTTCTTAATAAAATGATCAATGGGCACAGAACAAAATCACGCCTCTTTATGTTCAGATGACTATATGGTCTAAGAGGGCAAACAGCCTCAACTATTAATTAACTGGGACTAAGAGTCTCAAAATGGTTTTAATAATGGCCCATGTTTCATTATATGTCTTAAAAATAATAATTACATACATATATGTCTTATTCTTCACTCACTGACATTCATTCATGGCTAGTTTGGTTGTGATAATGTCATTCAAACGCCCAAACCAAAAGAACAAGACTACACAGATGCTTCTTCCTCCCAGGGGTTAAATACCGGTACCGCTTGACAATGGACCTCAGAGTTGCAGATGGGTTTAATCACTGTCCTCGTGTCAGAAACCCCATGCCATTCATCACGGGTCCATCTCTGGTTAATTCACCTACTCACAAATAACAACACAGTCACAAAATCCGCAAGAAAAGATCTTATGAGTTTTTAGGCTCTTATTCCTTTAAACTGTAACTAAAGTTCTTCAATAGCACTCAAAGGTTTTATTTTATTTAATCTGTCCATATGCAAAGATGGCTCAGTGAAAACTAAGGACCCCACTGTCCTCCATCACCTGAGACACTCACAGATCATCCATGTTCTTGTGGACGGTCCCAAAGGCAGTACCAGCCCGGATCTCCACACATGTGGGAATGCTGAAATCAATTATAGTACAGAATGAGGAATAATATTAAACTGTTCTGAGAATAATTTAAATAATTTCTGTCTTTTTAAAAATAACTTCAGTTGTGTTAATGTGGAATGTGTTCCTAACACATTCCATTACTGCTCCATATTTGGAGAGTTTTACTTATTTTATGTATGAAGACATTTATTACTTTGAAATTCTTTAGCTAATAACCATGAAAAAAAATGAGCCAAGCAGAGATTATGAACCAAGGGGCTTACCTTTATCAGCATCTCTGCTCCTCATTCAGGACAATAATTCTTGATTAAATGATTAAATCAGCTGCCTGGTGTTCACTCTGGGGAGGAAAAAGATTTAGAATAGATTTAGATTTATTTTTAATGGATTATTCAAGCAGAACTAGGTAGCAATAAACTTTGACTCAAAATGCAATTTTTCATTAGTCAGTATTGAACTTTTAATTTTAAATAATGTGATAAATACTATTGAGTACACCACCCATCCCCCAAAAAAGATCTATAACAATTACAAATACCTGCCTAGATAAACATCTAGTAAGTAGATGGGTATTCAGAGGATTACTGGTTGATACAAACACTTTCCCTTTCCTTAATTAAAAAAAAAAAAAAGCAAATCGAAAAAAAAAGTCTTGTAACTATCAGTATTATGCTCCACATTAAAATAAAGCATTATAGACTCCGTCTGTTCATTTTACTTCAGATTAATAATTGCCCTTCTTTATGGCAAGTAATAATGCTAATAATATTTGTTTTATTGTCCTCTACTAATTGCTCCGTGAATAGCTCTGTTAATCTTTCCTGTATATTTCTCAACTCACGAAGGTATTGATTTGCTTGGTATAATACATTCCATATCTTGAAACCACAAAATCCCAGGGCCAAGTTTATTGAATTTTCCTAACTTCTGCTCTTAGGTCATTTCTACAGAACCTACTAGCTGCTTCTTATTCTGTAAAAAAAAAAAACCCGAGTTAACACAGAGGGCTTCATCAGAAGGTTGGTGTGGACACCTCACAATGCTCACCATTGATCCATTGGCGTTCCATCCCTTCAAGCATGTATCCCTCCTTGAACCAGTTCAATCATTCTCTGATTCATGAATAATAATTATACATTCAGAACCCCATAATGACAAGAAGACCAAGAACAAATGGGTTTAATGAAACCAAAACCTGTTCACTGTTCCCCTTCACTGAGAGCAAAGAGATAAGACATCTTATTACAGTGAGCCCCTGGTCCAACATACGGACCAATCAGCACAACATGCTTCGTGTCAATCCTAACTTCTGATTGGCTGGTGAAACCAGCAGCCATGGACCTAATAACAAAGTACATGCTCTTCAAAACTACCTTTCAAAGCACTCCTGCCACAATGTTTGTAAATAAGGGACTACACTAGGTCACGGTTGGAAGAGACATAAAGTAGAAAGTTAAATATGTGAAATGCCCTCCATCTCTTCAGTCTTGGTCCTCAGTGGGGCTGAGTTAAATTACTTGTAATTTTTGGTTCATGACACATTCCAATCAACAATTATTTTATTGAAATAATTTAGGGGGTTCCCTTGAAGGAGGAAGGCCATCTGTGCCCAGAACAACCGCTCTGAGGGTTCCTCACTTTGGGTCTTTATGCTCCTTGTTGAGAAGTAACAATGATGGTTACTCTGATTATAGAGCAATAACATCTCCACTGTGGTTTGCGTTCTACAGTGGGGAAAGAAAGCCTACTTTTAAAAATGTCCTCATGCTTTAAAGAACTGGATTAAAACTCCATGTACATCTTTCTAAAAAATACAAGAGCCCTGGTTTAATGTCATGGGAAAAAAAAAAAAAAAAACCAGGGATCGGAATCCTCATGACATTTGTTCCTAATTGGTCCAGTTTGCTGACTTAAAAAACATAAAGTCATAAAATCATGTATATTCATAAGAATGGGATCCTAACTATAATAAGATAGATCCCATGCTTATATAGTCATATCAAAATAAATTCTGCTGTCATGTACTGAAAATTAAGAAAAAATCATGCCTTGCTTTTCAAATATCAAGACACTATAATCTGTAATGTCACAGCACCGGGCCATGACACAAAATAGTATTTACATGTCCACAGTCACTGAACTTGGGATAACAGATCCATTTGGTTTTATGTTGTTTTAATAAAAATTAGTAAAAGTGAAAAGATGAATGGTTGGATCATTGACCCTGTTTGCCTGACAATTATGTGATTATTTACCAACGATTTATATGAAGATGCACTTTGTTTCCTTAACAAAACAATCAATCAGTAACCATCACCACAACAGATCACAAGCTTCTGTATACAAATGACCACCTGTACCTTCACCACAATGGCAAGAGCCTTGACTATGAATCTTTTGGGAGACCCAGACTAGTTTTAATAATCCATGTGGCATGACATTCCTTCATAATAATTGCATAATTTGCCTTCTTTTTTTCAGACTTTTTAAAATTAATAGGCTGACTTTATAATTTAAACAAAAAGTAAAATCTGGGCTGAGGGTTAGGGTTAGGGTTAGTGGCGGAGCAGTTGCTGGGCTTGATCTAACTAGCACTGTACTAAAAAAAAGGGTGGGGGGAATATATCCCCCAAACCAAGGAAACATGACCTTACCTTAGCTCAAGTCCAAAGGAGGAATGATTATCTCTCTCTCTCTGTGGACCTCAGAGATACATATGGGTTTAATCAAAATATCCTGTTTCAGATACCCCATGGAACTCATCACGGGTCCAAGCACATTTTCTTCCTTTGTTTATTGATTAATAATCAATTAATTAACAACAATACAATCACCATGTTTTAGGGACAGGACCTCCAGGGGAGCCACCCTCTCCTCATAGACAAGAGCCCTTTAACACTGGACCTCAGGGAACATGTGTGACCTGCTGGTGTCTGTGCTGCCCACCAAGACCTGCATGGGGCCACGGGTCCTCCGTGACCTTCTTGGGCTCAGTTTGCCCATCTCCCCGGCTGCCATGGGCAGACGCCTCAGTCAGGACCACACAGACAGGGAAAGATTCCAATCATGTGTGGTGGAAAGTAAGCTGCAAACAGCTCTGAAAATAACTGAAACAACTACTACCTTTTAAAAGTCACCTCCAAAAGTTAAAAATGGAAATAAAGTCACCTTCCTTGCATCAAATTAGATTAAACTATTTTTTGGTTCGTGACATATTCCCATCACCGGTCCGTTGTTGGTGAGGTTTCTTTCTCTTGTGCACATGGGTTCCTTTTTTTACACAGCAAAAAAGCAGCACAGGCAAGGACAGGAGAGGGTGAGGTCTCACTTACATTGTTCTCTATGTTCGTTACCCACAAAGCCAACCACCCAGGCTTTGTTTCTCGGGAATAAGCCACTCTGCTCTGGTCCCTGTGGGAGAAACATAGACTTAGCCTGACTTAGATTCTGCAAGGTGTTATGTGGAACTACATACTAGTGAACAGTGGTCCTTTATAATTAATTCAGTATTTTATTTTTGCTTTGAAATAATGTTATCACCACTGTTGCATCTGTCACCCAAAAATAAGATCTACTCCTATGACCAACGCCTGTTGTGTAAATACTCAACTCACACAGGTAAGCACTGCCTCATGGGGTAAATATTCATCTACTTCTTTCTTTTTTCGATACTGGGAATTGAACTCAGGGACACTCAACCACTGATTGACACCCCAGCCCTATTTTGTATTTTATCTAGAGACAGGTTCTGAGTTGCTTAGTGCCTCGACATTGCTTTGAACTTGTGATCCTTCTGTCTCAGCCTCCCAAGCTGCTGGGATTACAGGTGTGTGCCACCTGTAATTAGATGAGTCAATAAATTAAGATGTTGTAAGATAGAATTATGCATAGGCCACCGAAAGTTGAATGATGATTACTCATGGATGATTTTCTGTTTATAATCTAAAGAATAACCAAAATTGTAACTGAGCCAGTAATTCACAACTGAAAAAAAAGTCTCTGTGCAATAATCTACATGTACCTTATAAAAAATGGCAGTAAACCAGGTGCCATGATGCACGCCTGTAATCCCAGTGACTTGGGAGGCTGAGGCAGGAGGATCTCAAGTTCAAAGCCAGTCTTAGCAATGTTGAGGCACTAAGCAACTCAGTGAGACCCTGTCTCTAAGTAAAATACAATAAAAGGGATGGGGATGTCGCTCAGTGGTCTAGTGCCCCTGAGTTCAATCCCTGGTATTAAAAAAATAAAAATAAAAAGTCCTCTGTAAAAGTGGCCAAAAGGGTGGTTGCTTGTGGTAGAGTGCCTGCCTCACATATGCGAGACCCTGAGTTCGTTCCTCAGAACCACATAAAAATAAATAGGTGAAATATAGGTAATGTACAACTAAAAAAATAAATATTTTGTTTTTTAAAAATGGCAATAGCGGGCTGATGTGGCTCATTGGTAGCGCACTCGCCTGGCATGCATGGGGCACTGGGTTTGATCCTCAGCACCACATACATATAAAATAAAGATGTTGTGTCCACCGAAA